ATTAATACCGTGGAAAATTAAGAGGAGGAATATCTATTTTTATATTGGGATGAATACACGAATACATGGTGGGTGTGGGTATACATTGTATCTAAAGAGTATACATAACCTGAAAACGATATTATTGAGTTAAGTCTGCCTGATGGCCATTAATCTCCGGCAAGACAACTATCAGGTGACATAAACCAACATACTATCAGGTGACATAAACCAGCAAACTATCAGGTGACATAAACCAACAAATTATCAGGTGACAAACTAGCAAACTATCAGGTTACAAACCAACAAATTATCAGGTGACAAACCACCAAACTATCAGGTAACAAACTGGCGACTCCCCGATTCTCAAAGGCTCTTCACGTTAAATGTACCCTGTATTTGGAGATATAATGACGTATCTTAAAGACTCGTCGAAACTACAGCACCAAATAGCATTAAAAAACAACGAGGAAACTGTACCAAGATAATAACCTAACTAACCTGCATTCTTCCATCCCAATACGGAGATAAAAACAACATTGTGTGAATGTTTGAGACTCCGGAGCTTCTTCCGGATTTCCTCAAAAGAGCTTCACGACAACACTACAATAACGAAGACAAAAGGTGTTGATACTGTTAGTGAGGCGAGGAATGGTGTACAAGCATGATAATGGGGACATAAAGAACAGTGGGTGTGAGAGGTACAGCAGCGAGGGAGGTACAGCAGCGAGGGAGGTGCAGCAATGAAGGAGGCACATCAGTGGGGGAGGCACAGCAGCGTGAGGGGTACACCAGCGTGGGGTTACAGCAGCGTGGGGGGGGTACAGCAGCGAGGGGGGTACAGCAGTGAGGGAGGTACAGCAGCGAGGAGGTACAGCAGCGAGGGGGGAAACAGCAGCGAAGTAGGTACAGCAGCGAGGGAGGTACAGCAACGTGGGAGGGGGTACTGCAACGAGGAGGGGGTACAGCAGCGAGGGAGGTACAGCAGCGAGAGAGGTACAGAAAGAGAGGGGCACACCAGCGTGGGGGCAGCAGCGAGGGAGGTACAGCAGCGAGGGAGGTACAGCAGCGAGGGAGGTACAGCAGCGAGGGAGGCACAGCAGGAGGGAGGCAGCAGCGAGGAGGTACAGCAGTGAGGGAGGTACAGCAACGTGGAGGGGGTACTGCAACGAGGAGGGGGTACAGCAGCGAGGGGGGGTACAGCAACACTAGCAACACCCACCACAGGAGGACCATCCCCTGTATACACCTACCGACAGCTCCCTCCTTCACATTCTCCCTTGAAGATCCCTTTCATATTCCCCCTCCTACAGTTCTCCCTTGGTTCCCATTCAGTCCCCCTTGTTGACGCCCTAAACAGTCCTTTTATACTACTCCCTATAGTTCTCAGTATAGGTCTATATTATATAATGGAAGCCCCTCGAAATCGACGATGGCCGGCCCAAGGGCCTCCTAGGCGTGAATTTGTTTAAGGTGTAAAAGCTGTCGCCAGGATGCTGACCATTACACCACAGGTCTATATTACAGTACCCCCTTCAAAGGCCCATTACGAGGTTTTCATCCACAGTCATTCTTCATAATCGACCCTTGTAGATAAATTTATAGTCTCGTAGTCCTTCTTCAGTTCTTTCTTCTATTTTTCTTCGCCCCTTCCTCCTCCAAGTCGTCCCCTTGATCCCTTTTTGTTTTCAATGACCACAGTCCTCCCTTACTCATCCACAGACTCTTCTCTCGTGGGTCTTCCCTGGGTGTCCACTTCGTGTTGCCACCTTTACCCTGGCCTCACAGCTTCCCCCCATGTGGCAGTGAAGGCCTCCTCGTTTTTAGAAATGCCACAACAATTTTCAGCAGGACAAAAAAGAATGGGAGGCGTCGAACGGTTGTGAGCCAGCCAGCCAGCCAGCACAGTTCCCATCCACCCAGGAATTTACCAAGTCATGTTACAGAGAAACTGACAAATACATACTGTACTGATACAAGGATGAGATGTACAATTTCGACGTGTGACATTTAAGAATTTTCTTCTCTTACAAGTTGATGTTCTGTAATGATGACAACATTACATTAACACAACTCGGGAACAAGATACAGTGATGCTGAACAATGACTACTGTAATTATGCGCAATCTCTGTACCTGTCTCTGTACTTCTATAAATCACATGGGAGATAATCAAGTCGACAGATCTTTTACAAGTACTGTCGAAAAAATTACTCTGATGTACAAGGAGAAGGTATAATGATGTTGATTAAAATTATTTATCATGGTAATATACAGACCCTCAAGCATCTACGGTGAGGGTATGGTGTGGGGAGGCGATGGAGTGGTGTGGGGAGGCGATGGTGTGGGGAGGCGATGGGTGGGTTGGTGGGGAGGCGATGGGGAGGCGATGGGTTGGTGGTGGGGAGGATGGAGCGATGGGTTGGTGTGGGGAGGCGATGGAGGGGAGGCGATGGGTTGGTGTGGGGAGCGATGGAGTGGGGAGGCGATGGGGGTGTGATGGTGGGGAGGCGATGGGTTGGTGAGGGATGGGTGGGAGGCGATGGGTTGGTGGGAGAGGGAGGCGCGCGATGGGATGGAGTGGTGATGGGATGGATGGGGGAGGGGATGGGATGGTGTGGGGAGATGGAGTGGGAGGGATGGTTGGTGTGGGGAGGCGATGGAGTGGGAGGCGATGGTGGTGGGGAGGCGATGGAGGAGGCGATGGGTTGGGTGGGGAGGCGATGGGATGGAGGGTGGGATGGATGGATGGAGTGGGTGGGGAGGCGATGGGATGGAGTATGGGAAGGTGATGGGATGGGGGGATGCGAGTGGTGATGGAGGCGAGGCGAGGTGATGGGAGGCGATGGGGGAGGCGATGGTGGAGGATGGATGGGATGTGGGGAGGCGATGGGATGGAGGGTGGGGATGGAGGGAGGGTGGATGGGGGTGGGTGGGATGGATGGAGTGGGTGGATGGGATGGAGGGTGGCAGATGGGACGGAGTGGTGGGGATGGGGTGGGGTGTGGGGATGGGATGGAGGGTGGGGATGGGATGGATGGAGTGTGGCGGATGGGATGGAGTGGGGATGGGGAGGGATGGGATGGTGGAATGGGATGGAGTGGTGGGGGAGGGATGGAGGGTGTGGATGGAGTGGGATGGATGGGAGGGGAGTGGTGTGGGGAAGGGAGGGAATGGGGAGTGGTGTGGAGAGGGAAGGAGGTGTGGGGAGGGAAAGGAGGGTGTGGGAGTGTGGAGTGGTGTGGGGGGGAGTGGGTGGGAGGGAAGGGAGTGGTGGGGAGGGAGGGAGGTGGAGGGTGTGGGGAGGGAAGGGAGGGAGGGAAGGGAGTGGGGGGGTGGAGTGGTGGGGAAGTGGAGGTGGGTGGGGAAGGGGTGGGAGTGGAGGGTGGGAAGGGGTGAAGGAGTGGTGTGGGGAAGAAGTGGGAGTGGGTGAAGGGTAAGAAGTGGGGGGTGGGGTGGTGGGTGGTGTGGGGGAAGGGAGGGGTGGTGTGGGGAAGGGAGTGGTGTGGGAGAAGGGTGGGAGTGGTGAAGGGGTGGGAGTGGTGTGGGGAAGGGGTGGGAGTGGTGTGGGGGAAGGGAGGGAGTGGTGTGGGTGATGGGAAATCAGAGGGTGAAATTGGAGACAAGAGCGGTGAGAGTGAAGGTGAACCTGGATGTGAGAGAGTGAGAGTGAAGGACAACCATTACACGTATCATGCAAACCTCTCACCTGACCTCTTACCTGTCCACTTATGGGCCCAACAGCCCTCTACTGTAACACATTACCCAGATAACACTCCTCCTAATATGTTCAGGACCATTCTTGTATGAGCCCTCTCCTCAATTCAGTATATATATATATATATATATATATATATATATATATATATATATATATATATATATATATATATATATATATATATATATATATATATATATATATATTCATTGGATCATGACAGAAACGTTTTATTTAATCTTTCATACAAATTGGCCAGGAAGAAACACTTATAGAAGCATAATCTTACAAATTTTATTTAAAAGTAAAATATACCATAGACCCTCACTTCAAACACCTACTCACTGTATATATCATAGAAGGTAAATAAAGAAGATAAACCCTCGGAAAGTGTAACAATAAGGTGAAAGGTCTATGACCAGGAGCCCTTGTACTAGCGCTCTCTAGTGATTATCATGATATTAACAGTTAACATCAGGTTCGCAATTTATTACGTTCAGAAATTAAAAATACCCAGCCAGACTGACAGGGTCCAGAGGCACCCCCAGCTTCACCCCCCCCCCACACACACACTCGAGGAGCAGCTCGAGAGAAAGAATAACAACTTATTTTTATTTTGTTCATAACTGACTTATAATTGATCCTCTTCCACGTATTATCTTACATCTGGCAGCCTGCACTAACACAAGAAGGATTTTATATTTTTGCTGTAATTAAATTATTTTACCTTGTGTTTACGTCCTAGTTAAGAGTTTTGGCCGGCAGATGTACCATGGATGATCGGATAATAATCTACCTACCCGCCGCTAATGAGCAAACTGCCTGTGTCAGTGTACAAGAAGCTCCTTTCCTCACCACAATAAATATAAAGCGGAACCAAACCTGTATCTTTACCTACTATTTAAACATTTAATAATGTTTTTTTCTTACTGAGTGGACTGTCACTATTAAGCCACTGAGGAGTGAGTGACCAGCGGTGGAGGTGAAGCAGGTCCTGAGGTGGGCTGAAGATGGTTAACCCAGCTGTAGGTATACTGTCTCACTTACTCCTGACCTGTGCCATGGTTCCCTCACTCTGCCTTTTATCAACCACACTGCTGGTCATTAATACTTGCTGGCTATAAGTACCAAAGTAACCAAGATACAAACAAGGCTCTCCTTTACGAAAATCTATAAGCTAAATCAGCATCGCTTCCAGCTGGCGACTTATCAACAGGCTGCCCTTAAACTCTCCCAGCATCTCAGTTATTGGAGGGCGAATTATCCACAAGACATCATTGGTACACCAGGGATCAACTTACCTCTTCCAAGACGTCGGCGATCTTGATGAGTGTCTCCTCCTGCAGGGCCTGGAAGGTGGGCACGCTGCAACACAAAACAGATATCAGTCATAAGAGGGAAATCTTTCGAGCACAAGAAAATATTTGGATTGAAAACTGTCAAGTCAAGGTTTTCGACGGATATACAAGAACAAAAAAGAATGTAGTTAGACACTTGAGGAGACAAGTACTGTACCTCTTAATACCTTACCCATGGTTGTGGTAGTAAGTGTCGGGTGCCCAGCCATCTGCACCTATTGGGTTTTGGTGATAATGGACCCAATTGTTCAGTATACTTTACCTAAGGCGCTGACTTCTTGAAATATATTAAAAATAACTAATACCAGATTAAATTCCATGGAACAGCAATATATAGAATTATGTTAACAGTACAAGCTGGTAATGTGTGTGAGCGCACCTATGCAAGTGATAATGCAGACGGCCTTGCATGTACAGTATATGCACAATAAATCATGTTCTCAAGAACTCATTATACTTGACGAAGACATGAACATTGGAGACAGTTTCAGCTCTCAAAAGATAGTTATCTATTTTATTTCCCCTCACAACTTTCTAACTGTCACCATCCCTATGACCTGCTGGCCCTCAAATACAACAATATACAACAATAATATCGGTGCATAATTACAAACACTAGCTGTGGTTACCTCATCAAGCATTGAGGTCGTCAGTTACCATGAAACGTGTGAGCATCTCGCTGGCTGCCGCTGACCGAGATCTTTACCTTTATGATGTACAAGATCATAAACCTTTCGCAACAATCAACAAAGTTGGTGCTGTAATATTTGACGGTCGGGAATATATGTGTATGTGTGTGTGTGTGTGTGTGTGTGTGTGTGTTTATGCTCCATGTGTGTATGAGCCTTGAACTAAATAAAATTGAGATAACTAGCAAAAGAGAAAGGCGAAAAAAATTCCTACAGTGGAGTGGACAAACGAGAAGCAGCAGGCCATTATGCTGCGACCTGAAAACTGTGTCACACGGGGAGCTCCTGCACCACTATCTCCTGCCTGCCCCTGTACCTCTCCACAAGCCTGCATCTCTCCCTGCATCTCTCCACAAGCCTGCATCTCTCCACAAGCCTGTACACTCGGAAACCATAATTTCTAGCCCTCATGGGTAGGTGCTGGAGGTTAGTACAGTGTCCTTTCTGGACGGGGGCCCACTCTAACTATCACGAGGCAACACACGCACGAACACACACAGTCAAAGTACGGCTGTATAGATGACATTATGTATAAATATTGTATATGGCACTGTATACTCTGCATTATCTTCATTATATATGAACACGAAGAAAAATTACCATAGGTTGTAGTTACGAAAGTATGAATGGAAATAAACACATCCAAACCACCCAGTGACTCCACACAACGTTTACAGCGCTTGTGTGTGTGCCAGACCACGATGCTTCCACCACACCCCATCATTCGCGTAACTATATGAAAAATCGTGTTTAATTTAACTACATATTTCAAAAACCTTAAATTACATGTGGATCAGTCACTCCTCATTTGACACACTTATAGTGTAATACTTTGACCATCCCACCTGGGCACATGGAGGCCCACGGTAACTCTCACGGGGCAACATACGCACGAACACACAAGTTATGATAGTGAACCCTTCCAGGCTTCACTATCATTATCATGTTATGTTCATTGTACTCTGTATCTTGGTAACTAGTCATAGTATCAATACATGACAGTGTTATTAGTATAATATTGTAACTTTTGCCCTACAGTTATTGTTGTAAATCATGGACAGGAAGGATACATAAATTGCAATATCAAGTGTATGGTTCGTTCAAAGCCACCCCAAGTCAGACAACGCGTCACACAAAGTTGCACTGTGTGTGTGTGTGTGTGTGTGTGTGTGTGTTCTGTAACATTAAGCTTCATCCTTAGTAGGTAAGATGTTTCATAAAGAGGTTTCTCTCATTCGTCATTGTGAGCATCGTCCCAGAGCACATTGTTTCCATCAAAACCATGGTTCATTCTTATTTCCCTTCTTCCGTGTAACTATATCCATATGGTTAAGTGCATTTTAATTTGCACTCCCTCGAGAGACGTAGAGTGACGGGCGATATGATAAAGGTGTATAAATGGAAGTCAGGGCTAAACAAAGGGGACATAACAAAGGTACTCAAACTATCCAACCAGGAGCGAACTCGTAACAATGGTTTTAAATTAGACAAATAGGTAAACATTGGTTTGGAAATAGAGTAGTGGACGAGTGGAACAAGTTACCAAATATTATCATTAACTTGAATACGCTGGATAGCTTCAAATATAGGTTGGATGGATATATAAGCAATAGGGGTTGGGTGTAAATGAGACTGCCCAGTATGGGCCAATAGGCCCGCTACAATTTCCTCAATTCTTATGTTCTTATGACACAACAAGGGGCGAACCTAATTGAAGGAGTGATGTGTCCTACAGCACACACACACACGATGGTCTGATGCATCATGCCTTTATCACGGTCATCTGTGATCTATTTCAGAATCAATGCATCATTTTTCTTCTCTCTCAGAAGTATATCCAAAGTCTTCGACGCTGTCATGTACACAATGACCAATCAAGGCTTGACGTACATGTCAGCGTGCAGAGTTAGTGTCACAGATACGTTGTCGTCGAAGGGAAACAAGTTCCAACCTTTACGATATCACTTAAGTAGGTGAGGAAAAACTACCCCAGTGACCTTGTACGTCACACACACACACACATTTAGACTGACAGAGTGTAGTACTACATGTACTGTACATCAGTGGTATTTAGTACTGTGTATTCTGAAACGACCTTCGCAACGTATGCATTTTTTATCTGGTGCAATTATACATATTTTTCAGAGATAGAGAGCATACGCGGGCACACACAAAGATGGACGCAGGACAGAAAAAAACTCACTCTCTCTCTCTCACGTGGGTATCACATGAAGCAGTAACTGTCCCGGGACCCCCAGGCTTCACTCGCCCTACACCTAAAAAACGTTTGGGGGGCCAAAGCAGATCAGCTGACGCCAGTAGTGACGCGTGCCACTCAACCATAAACAAACGCTTTATCCCTAGATACCTCTTGTGAGATACAGCCTCGTATTATTAATGCTATAAATCCCCTTATAATCTGTGGTAATGGTGGCAGACTATTGAGAGGTTATAGTGGCAAGTGTTATTGTATTGTGATGATAATGGAGACCTGAATCTTTATGGAGTGTGGTAATGGTTGTATAGTGGTGGCATGAATCGTTATCAGCTCTGGTATAAACCATTACTGCTTGTGGTAGTGGTGGCGTGATGCAGCAGGGACCATCATCACCTGAGGTAGTGAACGCGAGGATTGGTTCCGAGTATGACGTCAAGGTTTTTTTACGACAAGAACAACGTGTAAAAAAAAAAAAAATCTTTCTCGGAACAGGTTTAACATGGTCCTTTCAGAGACACACATACAGACAAACAGACACAAAGAAAAAAGAAGAGAAGTTAGGAATGGATAAGTCGAAAAGGAGACACTGATGAACCGACAGACAAGCAAACAGGGAAATAAGACAGTATATAATCGGGTTATTTGTTTGCACTTTTGCTTTCACTTCATTTTGGTCTTATTTACTATGTTTTCCTCTGTCATTTACTTTACTTAAGGTAATTATTTCACTACTAACATGAGTCATGCTTTCTGTGTTGTGTACGTTAATTTTATGGTTTTGTTGTATTACTGTGCACATTATTATCAATACAATTATTATTATTATTTATATAACCAATACAAACTATTATTATCATAAAGAATATTTCATCCCAGTCGACGGACGTGGGGGAGGACCAGAAGGGGGGATAAAAAAATGCGCCTCCTCAAAAAAGTGGTCGAATACGCGCAGGATCGGAAGTGCGGCGTATATGAAGGCCCCTAGATAATGCCGGTGACGGAGACAACAAACGGGGAAGGCGTGGCAGCAGCGGCAACACGAGGACGTAGTAACTCAAGATGAAGGGAGGGAGGGAGGGAGAATGTCAAGGTGACCACGACGACGGCACTACCTCCCTCCCTCCCTCCGTTGCTCTACCACTAGCGGGACACTCACGAATTAACGACGGCCCTCCCTCGTTACTCCACCACCAGTAGTACACATTACCGGCGGAAAACTCACGAGTGACAGAGGATCTTGTTGCCTATCAGATACTCTCATGACCATGTCTCTAACTGTACCATCAAGCCTGACACGGCTCTAACTGTACCCTCAGACCATACACGGCTCTAACTGTACCCTCAGACTAGACACGGCTTTGTGCCAAGAAGGTTTCCACCACATTAGTTCCGAGGAAACCGTTACAACATCGTGGCGAAAGAGATACAAGAATGTCTTGTATTTACATGATTATAATTTCCCAGAATATCGTCCTGTAAAACATTAGACAACTCCTGACGGAAAGTCCAGTACTCAGAAGAAAACCTGAGATAACAACAGAGATTCAACGAAGTTTCGGTAATTTTACAAGTTAACCTCAATAAAGTGTACAGAAAAAAAGTAATGCCATCTTTGTATTATTTAGTTTTCCCCAAGTCGAAATGTCAGAGTTCCCTGCCACCTGACCTTCACTTTACAGAAACCAAGTGGTAGTGGCTAGACCAGTTTGAGGCACCATACACAGTAACAAACTCCAGACGCTATTTAATGCTCGTGCTGGCTCTGTTTTCATGGGATGGACCTGACGTTTACCGACCCTTTGCGTGTCTGGAAAAACCCCCACTCAAGTCGAGGTGAAGGACATTATGCGGTAGACAAACAACATGTTGGGTCACTGTCTACACGGGTAACCGGATAAAACCCCAACGGACAAAGCCCCAGTCTCATATATAAAATATAAAATAAAACACTTTTAAGCTTAGGTTTTGTCATGGAACCGTCTACACGATACTTGAAGAAAATCTCAACTTGAAGGGAAATCTAAAAGTACGAAGCAAACAACTTAAGCCGGTAAGATGACCTTTGAAACCGTGACCTTGACCTTTCAGTACTAGAGCAAT